TGAAGGTGGATGTAGGAACGTTCCAAGGGACTCACCAATCTGGAGTGGAGACGGAGCCCTGAGTGCATGTGGTTCTAGAACTGACCTGCAGAGGGCAGCAGCGCTCCACAAGCTGCGGCCTGGGGGCTGACAGCTAAACCCAGCCTCCTGCCCATAAGCACCGCAGGGCCCAGTAGACTGGAGCCCCCCTCACCCCGAAGGAGGCGAGGAGGGATGGGAGATGACGGGCTGAGGCCTCAGCCTCTAGGCACGCAGGAGGCCAAGGGGATGTCGCGCTGCTAGTGTGGGGAACCCCTCATTCCCAGCTTCTGTCCTGGATACACAAGACCACGCCCCCCGCACCCCAGTCGGGCCTGCCCTGCCCCCCCTCCATGTGGTGGCTGAGGGAGCCCTAAGCCGGTCAGGACCTAGACTCGTGGGTAAATAAAATGCCAGAAGACACCATCTGTGGCCAGCGACGAGATGCCAGGTCCCGGGACCCATTGCTCTATTGCGATGTTTAAATTTGGTCCTCACAGTAATCTATAAGGTAGATTACTTATTTTTTAGTTGGTTCATCATGGGCTTGAATTCAGGGTCTGGGTGTTGTCTGTCTCTGAGCTCTTTCGCTCAAGGCTAGCGTTCTACCGCTTTTGAGCTGCAGTACCACTTCTGCCTTTGTGGGGTGTGTGTGTGTGTGTGTGTGTGTGTGTGTGTGTGTGTGTGTGTGTGTGTGTGTGTGTGTGTGTGTGTGTGTGTGTGTGTGTGTGTGTGTGTGTGTGTGTGTTTTTAATTAGAAGAGTCTCACAGACTTTCCTGCCCGGGCTGGCTTTGAACCACAATTCTCAGATCTCGGCTTCCTGAGTAGCTAGGATGACAGGCGTAAGCCAACAGAGCCTGGCTTAGAAGGCAGAATTGATTCCCAGTTTTCAGTTGAAGCTTGTGAGACTCAGAGATGTTAGGTAACCTATCTGAGATCCCACAGCAAGGAAGTGGCTGGAAGAATTAGAGAGAAAAAAAAGGCAGGGGGAAGCACAAAATTCAGGGCATACATTAAGGATGGTCAGGGGCCTCGCTGAAGGGGGGGTGGGTGGGTGGGTGGGTGTGGGACTGCTGTTATGGGAGTCTTCAAGTCCAGAAACATCACAAACATCACAGGTGAGAGGTAATGTATGGCCAAGGAGCAGGTGAGGCTCATGGGTGGAAAATGACCAAAAGGAAACACCTAGGGCTGTAAGTCCCTGCTAAACTGACCGAACAGGATTCTTGCTGAAGGCAGGCCTGGGATCAGAACTCACTTGATTAAAGCCAGCTGGCTGGAGCTGGATGGCAGGATCCACGTCAGGTGTGGAGCAGGAGCAGTTTAGCAGGATTCTGGTTAATGACAGCATCCACCAATGATACAGACACGCAAGTCCCCATGTCAGGGCCTGGTTGGAAATGTCAGGATTTGGCTCCCGTTACCGAGAGAATCTATGTCAAAACCAACACGCCAGGCCTGGTGGGGTGACTCATGCCAGTAATCCTAGCTACACGGTGGGGATCTGACGCTAGCCCTGGCATAGCTAACTTAAATTCCTATCGGACAAGACTGACTAAAACAAAGGGGCTGGGACAGCCAGGCCCCAACTTCCACCACTGCGTGGCCGTGACTTGTCATGCCGGCCTCCTACCAGGAGAGGTCACCCGTGAGGACAGACACCTCCGCCCGCACCCTAGGGCCTCTTAAATACTTGCTGAACTCGTGACTGTTCTCCAAATCTAGCTTGCAACCAGTCACACACAGGGACGGCCCCCGGATACTTGTGCAGGGGAGGAAAGGAGAAAAAGGACTCTTGATTTTTTTGTTTTTGCGTTAGACAAAATCATCACCCAGACCCCCCCTTCTCTGGGCTCAGCTTCTCTTTGCTGGCAGGGCAAAGCATGTTTCCCCCAGGAACTGTAGATGTTTCTGCTGGGAAGGGACAGGAGACGTGCTCTACAGAGCTGGTTTCTAGTGGTCTGGGCTCTGGTTTTGACCTGAAAGCCACCCAAGGGCTCTGCCCACCAAACCTCCTTCTGATGGAGCCTGTCTGGGCTTCGAGCCACCTGGATTCCAGGAATGGGGGGTGCTGGGAGGGGTTCGGCCATGATAATTTAGCACCTACATCTAGAAGTTGGCCTGGTAACCAGAGCATGGCAAGTGTCCCAGAAATGTGTCATGACACTGGATGGGCTGCTTACCGCCTTCATGGGTCGGATCCCGGGGACTCCACCCCCAGCCCTTAACCTTGACCCAGAAAGCCACCCTGAACCATGGTGACCCAGACGACGGGCCACTGGCATTCTGGTCCCCTTCTCCCCCACACCTGAGCCTCTCACAACTGGAGATAGGGGTCCGGCCTCCTCCATCCTCCCTCCCTTCCTCCCTCCTTCCCTCCCTCCCTCCCTCCCCCCCCCCCCCCCCCCCCCCCCCGCTCTGTTTGAAGTCCCCCTCTCTAGCTGTCCTCCAGGTGGAGTTCTGAGCTCTGAGCGGGTCCCTTTGTGGTTAGGAGCAAGTGGCTGGGTGAACCTGGTTTTCTTCTAGGCCTTCGGTGACTTTTCCCAACTGGCTCTGCTCACCCTACGGCAGTGCGGGCCTGCTAGGACCGTTGGTTGACGTCATCAAAGCGACGGCAGGACTCAGCCATGGAGACTGGAGTTTATCCCATGGCCAGGGTCAGCTGGGCTGGGCGTGATGGGCAGAAAACAGCTGTCCTGGGGGGCCCAGCCGTCAAGATGGCCTGTCCTGCCTCCTCGGCGTGGCCAGGCGAGGGGCGGCTGCCCTGTCCATGCAGGCGGGGCGGCGAGCGGAGAGGGATTAGAACACCTCTGGGCCCGCAGCCTGGGGGAGCCAGCACTCGTGGCCCTGCTCCAGCCACCGGCCATGCTTGGCCATCAAGCACAAGGCCTCTTCCCCACGGCCAACTGCGTGCGAGACTCGGGGTGGGGGAGTTCAGTGTTCCTTCCAGGGTGTATTTTGGGAACTGCTATGGCCCTCACTTCCAACCCTCTTTGCTTCAGTCCTGGGCTTGGACTCAGGGCCCTGTGTCTGAGCTGCCTTAGCTCAAGGCTGGTGCTCTCCCACTGGAGCCACAGCCCCCCAACCCTTCCCAGGTGTGTCCCCCACCTGAGCCAGCTCACGTCACTGAGGACCGTCGCGAACCCCCTTGCCTTCTCCCCCTCCCCCAAACCTTTGCCGGAGGAAAGTTCTGGAAAGAATTCCAATCCCTCAAATCCCCGCAGGTGAGCTAGGCGGAGGTGCCCTGCCCCTCCCCTCAGCCTCCGTGCTTGTGGCTGGCTAGTGGGTAGGCTGCCCCACACTGCCCCCTGCTAGAGCAGGCCCACACAGGCAGTCCCTGGAGAGGGGACCTCTGTGTTTGGTGGCCTTCTTGCCCTGTGCCAGTCGCTGTGTACCAGACAAATGGCCTGGCATTAGCTCACTAGATTTCCATCACAGCCCTGGGAGAATCAGGACTCTCAGGCTGGGGGGGGAGGTTCCAGGGGAGACCACACAGCTAGCCCAAGTCAGCCTGTCACCCCGAACCTCGGTATTCCCCCCCACCCCGCCCAGCTCTGGCACAGTGGAGATAAACTCTACTCCTGCTCCACCGCTCTCCTGAGCTCTGACCACGTGTCTGTTTCTAATTCTAGCCCAAGCCCCCTTCCTTGGAAATGCATTCTGCTTTTTTTTCCTTTCCGTTCTTTGTTGGATAAGGTTCTTGCCTGGGACCAGACGTCCTGGGCCGGCTGGACCTCCAGCTTCATCTTAGAAGACAGCTCCTGACCTCCAGCTTCATCTTAGAAGACAGCTCCCTGACCTCCAGCTTCCTCTTAGAAGACAGCTCCCTGCGGCTCCAGCCCATGGCTCCACAGGCAGCGCCAGGAGCCGCGCGCACAGCTCCGGCCTGCACCCGGAGATGAAGTAAGTTTAGAGAGGTGAAGGGCCCTGGGGGGAGCCTGTTGCCTCTTCCACGTGAACTCACGATCCAGGGGCACGTGCATACACGCACACCCATGCACACGCAACCTCCCCATACACTCCCAGTTAGGGGGCACCCACCCCCAAAGTCTCCCCCCCAGTCCCCCGAGAGAAACCAAACTCCTCCATCGCGTCTAAAAGAAAACCACCAATACCACAACAAAAAAGAACCCCAAACTTTACTTGCGTTCAGCCATTAATAAATAATTTACAGTATGTACACACGGCGCTGGGCCGCGGACACGCACGGACACAGTGCGAGGCCCCCCACTTGCAAGCAAGAACGCCGCAAACACAACCGAAATAAAGTGCTTTAACATCTGACCTCCAACCCAGGGATAGCTAAAAAACACAAAACGAAACAAAAAAACACCCCCGCAGGGCAGGGGAGGGGCTGCACGGCGTGGTTTGGGTCTTTTGGGGGGCTGGGGAGGGGGACCTCGGGGGGGAGGGGGAGAGGCAGGCTCTGCCGCCTCTTTGGCCAGTGTATGAGAGGTCCCTGGGGAGCGGGGGGGGGGGTCGGTGGTGGACACGGGGTGGGGGGGCTGCAGGATGCCCTGCTGTGCTGTTTGGGGGTTCCCCATCCTGCTGGAAGTGAAGGTGGGGGCTGACCAGCAGTTGGGGGAACGCAGGACAGGGCAGGCCAGCCGGCTCTATCCGTGGGGTGGACTGACAGTGTACGCATCCTGCAGCGGGGGGTGGGGTGGGGGGTAGGGAATGGGGGGTCACTCCTGCCTGGGTATTTAGAACCCAGTGCTTTCTGGGACGGGGAGGAGGGCGGGGCTGGAACAGGTGTCCACAGCCAGCGGTGCGCATGTACCGCCTCCTCGGGGCTCTATGGAGGGCGGCGTTCCCCTTGAAGGCTGGGCTGGGGTCCCTCAGCCCCCCTCAGCCCCTGGGGAGCCCTCCCAGGCTGCATGTGAGTGTGTGTGTGTGCGCGTGCAGCAGTCAGCCTGTCTCAGTGCATTGCGGGGGAGGGGGGCTGATGTTCCCAGTGTTTCTCTGGTGTGTGTGTGGGGGGGCGCAGGGTGGGGGGGCGTCAGCCTGGGGGGACGTTAGGGGTGGGTGTTGCGGAGGGGAGCTGTGGTGGCTCCCCACAGCTTCACCGTCACCAATATCACAGCACCACGATCATCACAACCTTGTCTAGAGAAGATGGGGTGCCACCCCCCTCCCCCCATGAGTTCTGGGGGAGATCTGTCCATGGCCCGCGGCCACCTCTGCTCCCAAAAGCCAAAGCTGGGCCTTCCTCTCGGGTGCCACACGGCCGTCCGGGCGGCTACCAGCTCCCGGGCAGCAGGAGGAGGAGCACCAGGGCGCCCAACAGGGGCCGGGGCCCCGGGGGGGACGGGGCGGCGGCCACCCCCCGCACGCGCTCCCGCGTCCGCTCGTACAGGTGCAGCTTGGCCTTGTCCGAGTGCAGCGTCTTCACGTCCTCCAGGGCGTAGAAGGCGGCCAGCGTGAAGTTCACGTCCCCCGTGGTCAGGAGGTCGAACACGCAGGCCTGGTAGTACAGGTCCTCCACCGGCAGCTTCTCCTTGCACTTGGCCACGGCGATCTCGTAGGGAAACGTGTCTGGGGCCGCCGGGGCCGGGCTGTCCGCCGCCGGCCTGCGGGCCCCGGGCCGCTCAGGGTCCGTGTGGAAGGCCTGGAAGTCGATCTGCTGGTTGAGCGGGCAGCCTCGGAGGCAGAGGTAGAGGCCCTGGCTGTCCTGGTCCTCCACGGCGTTGACCACCTCCTCCGGCATGCGGATGGCAAAGGTCAGGTAGCGGCCCACCTGCCGAACCACGATGGTGGTGCCGATGTACTTGGCTTGGATCTCCACGTGCTGGCCCGACACCTTCTCGGTGATCTTCAGGCTGTTGGCCCCATGTTTGTCTCCCCCATTTTTGGAGCCGTCAGCAAAGGCTGCGGGAAGCTCGTCCATCTCGGCTTGGTAAACCTTCTGGTCCACGCACTCCTGGAAGTTCTTGAAGATGATGGTGAGCTGCAGGAGAGGGAAGAGGGGGTGGGGGGTGAGGTGCGGGTTCAAATCTTAGTGCCATCAAGAAAGAAAGGAAGGAAGGAAGGAAGAAAGGAAGGAAGGAAGAAAGAAAGAAAGAAAGGAAGGAAGGAAGGAAGGAAGGAAGGAAGGAAAGAAGGAAGAAAGAAAAAGCCAGGCCCCAGTGGCTCCTGCCTGTCACCCTAGCTCCTCAGGAGGCTGAGATCTGAGGATCGCAGTTGGAAGCCAGCCTGGGCAGGAAAGTCCATGAGACTCTGATCTCCCATGAACCACCAGAAAACCAGAAGTGGAGCTGTGACACAAAGTGGTAGAGGACTAGCCTTGAATGAAAAAGCTCAGAGACAGCACCCAGGCCCTGAGTTCAAGCCCCGTCATGGACATCAAAATAAACAAGAAACAAGCAAGGAAAAATAAAAAGAAGGAAAAGAAACAAAGTAGGGTTGGAGGACTAGAGCGGGGCGGGCTATGGTAGGGCAGGGGCTGGAGTTTCTGGGGACCCTTCTCTCATGGAACACACAGACACAATCAGGATTTCTCACTGCTCTGGTATAAAGATACATATATAGTCTAGGCTTGACATATTGACAGGTTGTTGTTTGTTGGGCTTGAACTCAGGGCCTGGGCACTGTCCCTGAGCTCTTTTGCTCAAGGCAAGTGCTCTACCACTTTGAGGCACAGCTCCACTTCTGTTTTTCTGAGTGGTTCAGTGGAGATAAGAGTCTCACAGACTTTCCTGCCTGGGCTGGCTTTGAACTGCGATCCTCAGATCTCAGCCTCCCAAGTAGCAGGGATTATAATAGGTGTAAACTCTCAGCTCCCAGCTTGGACTTGATATGAATCGTATTGACGTCTTTCTTCTCACTTAAAACAAAAGTCTTTTGGTCTGGCCCTGAGAGGCAACTGGCTCAGGCCAGGGGTTTGGCCTGCTTGCTTCATGAACCCCCAGAATCGGAGTCTCCAGGCCAGGTGGACACCCAGGGGGGCCTGACCACAGGTCTTGGCCTGGTACCCGGAGCAGGGGAGGGGGATGCTCTCTCCCACCTGCCTGGAGCCCCGATTCTGGCTTGCGTGTAGTCTTGCTGCTGCTCTCTCCTCCCTGCCCTGTGAAACTGCCAACTCCGCGTGGTTCACCTCTCCTTCCTCTGCAGCCAACAGCCTAGCCCACCGTGCCAGCGGGGGGGGGGGGGCGGGCAGCCAGGGTGGTCCGGGCAGTGGGTGGTCCTGCTACTCGGGAGGAGGGGGCGTGGTCATGAAGGGCTGAGGCGTCCCTGCCTGGTGCACAGAGCCACCCAGACCCCAGGGGTTCGGATGGGGACACCCTGCCTGCCCAGTGCCACCCGGCCCCGGGAACAGGAAAGGCGGGTTTGCCCGCCGCCGCCGCCATCTCTAGCAGACACCTCCTGGAAAGCCACCAGGCCGCCTGACTCCCTGGCACGGGTACCAGGGAGGAAGCACAAGTAACAGCATGAGGGGGCCTGTCGAAAGCCGGCGGCGCGCTGCCAACCGCCATAGCTGCTCTGCCTGGGCCCCGCCCCCAAGCAGCACCCCTCCACACACAGGCCAGAGCCGGGCTTTACTGCACCCTGCAGATAAAGCCAAGGGTGGGACATGGGGAGCCCTGGGGGGGGAGGCGGGGGCTGGGCCAAGTGGATGAATCACACCCAGGACACATTGGGGGGACGGGAGGGGGGATGGGGAGGGGGCCCTTCTTCCCTGTCCTCCGCAGCCTCAGTTTCTTTTCCTGTAAAGTAGGAAGCTGCCTGACTTGCTTGCCAGGGCTGAAGAATGGTGTGTGTGTGTGTGTGTGTGTCTGTCTGTCTGTCTGTCTGTACTAGAGCTTGAACTCAGGGCCTGGGCTCTACCCTCTGAGTCATTGTTTGCTCAAGGATAGCGCTCTACCGCTTGAGCCGCACCTCCACTTCTAGCTTTTGGGTGGTTAATTAGAGATTAATTGGCCTCGGCTGATTTTTTCCAACTGGGCTCCTTAGCTCTCAGCCTCCCGCGGAGCTGGGCTGCCAGGCGTCAGTCGCCAGTAGGCGGTGAGTATTCTCCATCGGATCATCCCTCAGGAGAGAGGAAGGAGGCAGGCTGGACACTGGCAGGGCTGTGGGAATGAGCCACAGTCTCCTCCTGCCTCCCCCCGCCTCTGCAAGGCATGATGGGATTGGGGCACTGATTTCTCAGTGCCCAGTCCAGAGCTGGGGGCCAAGGCCCTGGGGATCCTGGGTGCTGACTCCCTGCTGCTCTGTGTCTCCCTGGCTGGGATCTGGAGAGAGGAGGGGCGAGAGTGAACCTGACACCTGGGAGCCCAGGCCTCCCTCGGCAGGCAGGGGCAGGCCGGGGTACTGGACGCCAGCCAGCCCTGTTTCTCACCCGGGGACCGCAAGGCTCCCAGTCTGGCCCAAGTTCTGAGCTGGGCTTGGCCGCAAACACTGACGCTGTCACTGTCTGGCCTCCGGGAGGGCTGGGTGGACGGGGCTTGGGGGCAGGTGGCGGGTGTCTGGGAGTTTTCAGCCTGCTGAGATCAAAGGTGGCTGGGTCACAGCGGAAGGGCTGGTCTGGTCAAGCCTGGCTACATACACAGCCCTGGACCCCCCTTCTGGAAACCTCTATGCTGGCACAGGGCGGGAGGGCCTCCCATCCTGGCTTGGGCGGTTCTGAGGAGCATGGGGCCGGCCTGAGGTCTGGAATCTTACCGGCAGGTGAATGAATGAAACAGGAGTGAAGGAATGAATGATGAACCCACTTGCAGAGGGGGATAGCACTGGGGGATCCGGGTCCCAGTGGGTCTCAGCTGAGTGCTAGGCCTGGTGTCCTCCCTCTTTCCTTCCTTTCTTTCCCTTCTTTTCTCTTCCCTTCCTTTCTTTTTGCAGGTACTGGGGCTTGAACTCCAGGTCTGGGTGCTTGGTGGTCCCTCAAGCTTTTTTTTTCTTTTTTTGCTGTGGGCGGTGCTCTAACACTTGAGCCACAGCTCTGCTTCAGCTTTTTGCTGGTTAGTTGGAGATAAAGAGTCTCTCAGCTTGGTCTGCCCAGGCTGGCTTTGATCTCAGCCTCCTGAGTAGCTGGGATGGCTGGGCCCTGGTTGGTTGTAGGATTCAGGAGCTGCAGCCTCTGGCTCCCAGGGTGCACGGACGGACCTTGGCTCTTTAGAGGGAGGGTGTTGGGGAGGGAGGGTGAGCCTTGGGTCTGAAGAGGCTGGGAAGGGGGGAGGGGGACAGGTGCACTCAGGTTAGATCTGTTGCTCACTAGGGCTCGCCAGGGGGGCACTGAGGGCCGGCTGGGGCTTCCTCAGGTCTAAAGGCCTGTTGGCTTCCTGCCCAGAAGGAAGCAGCCAGGGCGGCACATTTCCCTCTCTGGCTATCCTCTTCTGGGGTGTGGCAGGCCGGGAAAGGGCAGAAACGCCCCTGCGGCCCAGCCAGACACTACCCACCACATGTCGCTCACACATCACATAGCCTTCCTGGGAAAACACACCCACCACAATGGCGGGCCAAGCCCCCAGGGGGCTCTGGTGGCCAGGACCGGCAGGGGGCAGAGGCCAGACACCGAGGAGGGGCGTGCATCCCCATCACCTGGTCTGTGAGACTCTGGTCTCCGAAATAAAAAGCAAGGCCAGGCATGGTGGCTCATGCCTGTCATCCTTGCTACTTGGGGAGGCTGAGATCTGGGGATCCCGGTTCAAAGCCAGCCCAGCCAGGAAAGTCCATGAGACTTTTTTTTTTTTTTTTTTGGTCAGTCATGGGACTTGAACTCTGGGCCTGGGCGCTGTCCCTCGGCTCTTCAGCTCAAGGCGAGCGCTCTACCACTTGAGCCACAGCACCACTTCCAGTTTTCTGGTGGTTTTTTGGAGATAGGAGTCTCACGGATACCCGGCTGAGACTCTTATCTCCAGTGAATCTTCACAAAGCCAGAAGTGGACCTGCGCCTTGAGCACAAAAGCTCAGGGACAGGCCCCAAGTTCAAGCCCTAGACTGGCACGTGCACGTACATGTGCGCGCACACACGCACACACACACACACACACACACACACTAACCAGCAAGAAGCCAGACTACAGGCATGGCTCAAGTGGCAGAGAGCCAAGCATGCCAAGGGAAGGCCCTGAATTCGAATTCCCACCCACCTCCCCCAGCTGGATAAAGACTGGTGGGGGCCGTGGTCTGCGGGTGGTGGGGGCTGGGGTCTGCGGGTGGCACGGCGGCTGGCGTTCCGTCGCTTACCTTGCTGGTGGCGGTGGCGGCCGAGCCCGGCAGCACCGGCGTGTTGGTGACCTGCACGTTCAGGTAATTATTGTCGATGAGCGGCCAGGCGCCCTGCACCTTGCAGGTCTGGAATCGGTCTGTGAAGGTCCTGAGGTGGGGGTCCCCAAAGAGGCCGCAGTGCGTGTAGTTGGGGGCGGCCGCGTGCTTGTGGAAGGTCTTCTCGTAGTGGCAGGTCTCGGGGCTGTCGGCCCGCTCCTGGCTGTCCCCGGCGGGCGGCGCGGGTGTGCGCGGGCGCGGCTGGGCCGTGGGGCCGTCCCTGGAGCAGTTGTGCTGGCCCATGAGGTCCTCTATGCCGTGCACGGCCGAGTGGTAGGCCAGGTCCCCGCGGCAGGTGCGGGCCGTGCGGCGGGTGCACAGGGCGTAGGTGCGCAGCGCCGCGCAGAACTCCGGGGTGTCGTCCGAGGCCGGGGCGTGGCTGCCCGACGTGGCGCTCCAGAACTCGGAGTTACACTTGAGGATCTTGCACGGGGAGGAGGCTGGGGAGGAGGAGGAAGAGGAGGAGGAGGAGGACACAGGATCACCATGGGGGACCCAGAGACCCCAGGCCCCATCTGCCAGGCCCAGGGGGAGTCAGGTGCCACCTCGTGTAACACCCGGCCAAACACACTCCGTCTGCAGACCGGAGGCAGCTTTCCGGCAGGTGCATGGAAAGGGGAGAACCTATCTGGCCTTCTAGATTTTTCTGGTTGATCTGTCAGGTTTGTGGAAAGAGCTCTCCTGAAGCGAGGCTTCCTGTAGCCCCTAAGGGTCGAAGGGCGGGGGGGGGGGTGTCTCTATTCCATTTGTTTCCTTAAAGTCCCGTGGACCTTAGCAGCCTTGGTCATCGCAGCTACTCAAGCAGGCTGAGATCGGAAGACTATGGTTTGAAGCCAGCCAGAACAGGAAAGTCCATGAGACTCTTACTTCCAACGAACCACCCAGAAGCCATGAGTGAAGCTGTGGCTCAAACGGTAAGAGCACCAGCCTGGAGCACAAAAGCTCAGGGACAGAGCTCAAGCCCCAAGTTCAATCCCCCCCCACCCCCCAAGTACTGCTGACTCCAATTCTCAGCCATCGGGAGAACATTCTCCATGCTTCTGCCCAGAAGTGGACAAAGGAGCGGAGAGGGGCAGTACAAGGGTGTGAACTCCGGGCCCTGTGTTTGCTTGCTCAGTTGTTGCTCTTACCACTTGAGTCACACCTCCAGCCTGGATTTTTACTGGCTAATTGGAGATGGAATCTCTCAAGGCTATAATGTCAGGTCTAGATTCCCACTGTGGTCCTTGGGATCTTGGCCTCCGGGGTAGGCAGGAGGATCCCGGGCATTTGCTGCCATCTTTCCCACCCCTCCCTCCACTCCAAGTGCTGCTGTGTGTCTGGGGAGAACGGAGGTGGGGGAGGGGTCTTCTCTGAACGCAGCCAGGGCTCACCCTCAACCCACACTTTGGGGTGTGTGCTCCAGACCACCTCCCCTGTTGGCCTAGGTGGTAGAGAAATCAGAACCACCCAGCTTGTCCCAATGAATTCTCGCCCCCCCCCCCCCCCCCCCCCCCCACTTCAGGAGCAACCCAGCAACAGGAAGAGAGGCTTTCTACACTGGAGTTGTCTTAAGCTATTTTTTTGAGGTTCCCCTTCCCTTTGAACTGTGGATCAAGCCCAATCTGTGGGAATAATAGTCTGATTATTACCACCCTGTTTGCATAACAAAGAAACCCAATGAAAACTTACTTTGCCCCATGTGGAGGGGGTGTGAGGGATTCCCCCCCTCTTCCCATGAACACCCACCTCCCTAGAAGTCTTAGGAATTCAAGAGCTGCTCCCCAGCCTCAGAATAAAGACAGTGCAATTTGCCATTCAGAAAAGCCCAATAGAGCCACACATTCCCGGGGTGCAAGGGGTCAGGTCAGGTTTCAGAGGCTTGGAGGGAAGGAGGGAGGGAGGGAGGGAAACCCTCCTCCTCTTAAAGCAGTAAAGGCTCATTTCAAACCCGAGCCCCACGTTCAGATGGTTGCGGTTCAACTCTGTGGCTTGGCGTGGTGACCTTCTGAATGGAGTTACTGGCTCGCTGGCAGTCCTGGGCGAGACTGTGTTGCCAGGAACAGTGACTAATCCTAGTCCTGGACCAGACCCCACTGCGCCGAGGACTCAGGTACCAGGCAAGGCCAACTCGACTTTGTTAAGGACAGAGGCCGGAGGGCATCAGGAAAGAGAGCAAACAAGGGTCTGGGGACCCCTGAGCTTGCTGGGAGGGGGGCGCTGATTGGTCAGACGGTAGCTTGGTGGGTGGGGCCAGAAGTAACATGAATGCCAGGCTGCTCCAAGCCTCTGTCCTGCGCTGTGCAATCCCCCAACACCCCACCCCGCTTTCTCTCTGGTCACCCAGCTCCTTGTTGGATTCTGTCACCAGGGGGGCAGTAGATGGGGATGGGAAGGAAGGGGATGCGGGGAGGCAGATCCATCCATTCCCACCAGGCAAGACCACACCCCTCTTCTTCCGTATCTCAGTACCAAGACGGGGGAGGGGGGCATGGACCAGTCCACCCGTCCAGTTAGTTCCCCCTCTCACTGCACCATAACCCAGGTGCGTTCCCGGAGATTTGGGTCTTGGTCCCACCCCTTCCCAGCAGCCTCTGAGAACTGGGGATAAATGCGCACTGCCTGATCAGAGCCCCGCTCTCCAGGATACAGGAGCGATGTCTTCATCGAAGAAGACAGAGGCAGGTGGAGGGAGGGAAGAGGGGGCAACCTTGGAAAGGCCTCTGGAAGCCCTGGGCACACCTGTAGCCCTGGCCACTCAGGAGGAACTGCTCACCAGCCAGCCTGGGCAGGAAAAAGAAATCGGAGAGACTGTGTCTCCACGCTTTCCAGCAAAACACAGGATTGGGGCTATGGTTCAACTGGTAGTACACCAGCCAAGCACAAGGTCCTGAGTTCAAATCACTGTACCAGCAGAAAAGAGAATCCCCTGCCAGCCTCGAGACACCCAAGATTCTTCCTCCATATCTCCTTCCTCACTGCCCCCCAGGGAGATGGGGGGCAACTTGCTCACCCCAGCTTGCGCTCCCCTCGGTCCCTGGCCCATCCCTGCCCCCTGGGAACTTCTCTTCAGCATGCCGGGAGCACACAGCCAGGTGTTTGGCTGCAGAGGCCAAGAGGGACGGGCCCGGAGGCCCACTCCACCATACCCAACCTGGGGCAGCCAGAACCAATTCCCCAGACCCCAGTGCCCCAGGACATTGGACTCCTCCCCCCACCTGCGCCCCCCTCCCCCAAGAACCTTCTAGAGGCCCTCCTCCATGGCCGGGCCTACAAAAGGGAGCTTCTCAAAGAACCTCAGCTAGGGGAGAGCAGAGGGGAGGTGATGGGGATGGGGGGCTGGGTTCACAGCTGGGCAGGGGCAGGCAGAGTAGCTCAGTGGCACGGGGAGCTGAGGTCCCCTGGGGACGGAGGCAGCAGCTGGGGTGGGGGGGAGCTTGTGTTTGGAGTCCATGGGCTACCTGGGGAAGAGTCAAGGCCCAGAACTTTCTGCTGAGTAATGGGGCTGCCTCGGGAAACCAGACTCCTGTGTGCTTAGCTGAAAGACAGAATGATTCTTCTTTTGTTTTATCTGGTGCAATGCTGGGACTTTGAACTCAGGGCCTGGGCACTCTGCTTTAGCTTTTGTGCTCATGGCTGGCACTCTACCACTTGAGCCACAATTCCGCTTCTGGCTTTCTGCTGGTTAAGTGGAGACTGCAAGTCTTACAGGCTCTCTCCTGTCCACGCTGGCTTTGAACCCTGATTCTCAGATCTCAGCCTCCAGAGTGGCTAGGATGACAGGCGTGAGCCCCAGCACCCAGCTTGCTCTGTCCTGTCCCGTGTCCCCCCAGCAGCGCCCGCCTGCCACTGCGGAGTCCTTTTCTCCTTCCCAGGATGTATCAGCCCAAGGTCCTCCGCCAAGGGGGTCCCTGAAGCGGCCATGGAGGCCGAGGCACAGCGTGTTGGCCATGCATGTGGGGCAGGTAAACAGAACACACAAATGCGCTCAGTCTGGAAGAGCAAAGACGCCTTTCTCCACGTTACTGTGTCCAATGTAATTTGCACCCTATGGGTTTAACTCCTGGCAGCCACGCCAGCTGCTGAGCTCTGAACAAACCCACGCTTTCAGGGGGCCGCGCAGCCAGCTTCCACCTGTCTAGGTGAGACAGGCTGCAGCACACAGACTGCCCATCCCCCGCCCGCCCCGCCCCGCCCCCCACCGGTGTCTCTGGACATCACCTTGTACCTGCCTGGAATTTTGCTTTTCTCTAACACGTGACTGCTCCCCATCAGCACCGAAGTTTCCAAAGCACCCGTTCTCCCTTGGGGCCTCAGGTCAAAGAATGCAACACTGTACTGGTGATGGAAATTATTCCATCTCATCCTTTATTTAGGAAATCATCCTTCCGTCCTTTCTTCCTTCCTTCCTTTCTTTTGTCTGTGTGTTGATATTGGGGCTTGAACTCAGGGCCTGAGCACTGTCCCTACAATTTTTTTCTCTCTCAAGGCTGGTGCTCTACCACTTAAGCCATAGCTTCTGCTTTTGGATGGTTGGTTAAAAGACATGAGCATGAGTTTCTCAGCTCTTTCTGCCCGGGCTGTCTCTGAACTGTAATCTTTAAATCTCAGCCTCCTAGGAGCCACCAGTGCCCAGCTAGGAAACTGTCTTCTGACCCCAGGTTTTTGAATCCCCGGAAGGGCTCCCATCCTCTGCTTCCTGGTGGCTAGCAGTGAGCTCAGGTTTCAGTAAGGTGGACAGTTCTGAGAGCAAATGGCAGGTAAGGGGGCTGGTGAGAAACGCCAGCCACAATCAGCATCTGGTTACTGGTCTTGAAGCCAAAAAGAAATGGGTTTCTTGGAAACAAAAGTGATGGAATTTGGGTTGTGAATTATAGAATGCACCGGTGTTCCTCAGACTAGGCTGGAATAATTGAACATAGTTGTTGTTGTTGCTCTGAGACCAAGACATGAACTAAGAAATGAACACACACACCCTCATTCAGCCTGCCGACTTCCCAGAATCTTCTACCTGGCCCTTCCCTTCCTGTGCCCACAAGTGAACAAGTGCTGTAGCTTTAAAAGCAGGCGGGTGTTGTTTTACAGGCCCTGAACCCCCTTCTCGATTTCAGCTCAGAGCTGAAAGCACATCGCCCCCACTGGAGCCAGGGGACAAAAGCCATTTATCAATCCATCTGATAAAACCTCCAGCAGCGGATCTTTATCTGCACCCCAGCAGGATGAGCACAGATTGCAAGTTTCTTCTGCCCCAAAAGTGTGTGTGGGGGGGGGTGGGGGGGGAAGATTTCTTTATTTTTCCTTAAATTTTTTTTTAAAGAGGTCGATTATTTTTGTAATTTGGGGAAGGAAAAAAAAATCAGCCTCTCAATCCAGATATGAAGTAGATGGCAAAACTGCCTTTTAAGGAACAGGGTCGGAAGAGAGGGACTTGGCTGCTAGACCTTCCCTAGAGGTCTGGACATGGGGTGTGGTGCGAGGGTAGCCAAGCCTCCCTACCAAGTTGCAGATGTCTGGGGACCTTTTGGGGGGCTTGGTAGCTGCACCCACCAGACAGACAGACGCTGGGGGTTCTGCAGCAGGGCTGAGACAAAAGGGTAAACTGATCCCCACTCCAGACTCTGCCCTGCTTACATGGATTGTGAGTTGACTCCCAACTGGCAGCCAGACCCAGCTGGGGACTGCCCACTTCTGCCAGTTACTTGAAGCCTAGTTGGCTCCAACCCCAAGGCGAGTCTAACTCAAGTCCTCTGCAGACTCAGCTGGGCGCAAGGTGGGAGGGGGGGAGGTGTTGCAGAACTGAATTTGGCCCCGTTGAGAAACGAGCTGCAATTTTTTTTTTTGCGAAAAGGCAACCTCTGGAACCCACAACACAATGGGAAGGGGCGGGGGGGGGGGGGCCCTCGCTGGGGGCCAGGGGTGGGCCTTTTGGCTGGTGATACTTGGCGTTTCTTTGTAGCAAGAGGAAAATGGGTCCAAAGCCTTGAACTGAGGCTTTCAGGCTGTGAGCCACAGAACGTGAAAACATAAGTTTTACTCCACGTGATAAAGAAACCTGCTTGGGGATTTGAGTTTTGTGCCTTTCCCCCTGAAAGGTAGGAGGAGAAGGAGGAGAAGGAGGAGGAAGAGGAGGAAGAGGAGGAGGAGGAGGAGGGGGGGAGCAGGAGGGATGAGGAGGAGAAGGAGCGGGAGGGAGGAGCAGAGGAGGAGGAGGAGGAGGAGGAGAGGGGAGGAGGGGGAGGAGCGGTGGGAGGAGGAGCGGGGGGAGGGGGAGGAGCGGGAGGAGCGGGGGGAGGAGCAGAGGGAGCGGGGGGGGGGGGGGGGGGAGGAGGGGGAGGATTGGGGGAGGGGGAGGAGCGGGGGAGGGGAAGGAGCGGAGGGAGGAGGGGGAGGAGCGGGGGGAGGGGGAGGAGCGGGAGGAGCGGGGGGAGGAGCAGAGGGAGCGGGGGGGGGGGGAGGAGGGGGAGGAGCGGGGGAGGGGAAGGAGCGGAGGGAGGAGGGGGAGGAGCGGGGGGAGGAGCAGAGGGAGCGGGGGGGGGGGAGGAGGGGGAGGAGCGGGAGCGCCCAGACCGGGCGGGGAGGAACAAACGCCCCTCTGTGGCGCGGCCTCCCCTCCCCCCGCGGCGGCCGGAGGCCGGCGGAGGAATCCGCCGCGGGCCCTGCCAACCCGGTGGGAAGGCGGCGGGCTCATTGGAAACAGATGGCCGTTCCCGCCCCGCCCGCCCGCCCCGACGCCCTCTCGCTTTCCGACCCGCGGCGGCCGCGCGCCCCGGCCCCGGCCCCGTCCCGCGCCGGCCCGGCCGCGGCCCCCGGCCCCGCCCCTGCCTCGGGCCGGCCGGTCCGGGGACGCCGGTCCGCGGGGGAACAAAGGCCGCGCAGGGAGCCCCCCGCGCGGGGAGCCCCGCCCCGCGCCCCGCGCCCCCCCGCGCCCCGCCCGCCCCGCGCCCCCCCGCGCCCCGCCCCGCGCCCCGCGCCCCCCCCGCGCCCCCCGCGCGCCCCGCGCCCCCCGCGCGCCCCGGCCTCACCTGCGGGGAAGCTGCAGAGCAGCACGGCGAGCGTCGGCCAGAATCCCAGGGCGGAGCGTCCTGCCCCTCTCCCCATGCCCGTCCATCCAGCTCGGCCCGATCCCACCAGCCTCTCCCTGGAGAAGAGCGCGGAAGGGAAGGAGAACGCGGTCAGATCGCTGGGCGGAGAGGCGGCTCGGCCAGGCTCCGCCGGCGGGAGCTGCGAGCCGGAAGGCTCCGTCCGCCCGGGCCGCGGGCCGCTGCTCCCCGGCCCGCGGCGAGGTCCCGCCGCCCCGCCCCGCCCCCTCGCCGTCCATCACCCGGTTCCCCTCCAATCACGACGCGCTCGCGCCCCGCCTCTCCTGGGCCCCGCCCCTCCTGGGCCCCGCCCTCCACCGCCCCGCCCCATCACCGGTTCCCCTCCAGGCCCCGCCCCACCCGCGGGCCCCGCCCCCCGCGGGCCCCGCCCCCTTGGCCCCGCTTCCCCCCCCCCCCCTCCATCACCTGGTTCCCCTCCAATCATCACGCGCCCGCGCCCCGGGAGCTCGGGTTTCAGCCCGGCCCGCGGGACGCGGTGGGCACCGGCGGGGAGGTGGGAGGGGGATCTTGGAGACCCCCAGGGCCTGCGATCTGAGGGCGCGTCCCGGCCCCACGATCCTCCCACAGCGGCCCACACAGAAGACCCCAGTGTCCCCAAGTCCTCCCAGGGCTCAAGGATCCCAGAGCCCCCCTTCGTTCTCCCCAGAAATCTGAGGGCAGGACGGCGGGGGGGGGGGGGGGGGGTGGGGAGCTAGAGAGACGGGCAGAGAGTCAGAGAAACAGAAAATCAGAGACACAGAGAACGCCAGAGACAGACGGGCAAAGAGTCAGAGAAACAGAAAATCAGAGAGACACACGGGCAGAGTCAAGAGAAAATCAGAGAGACACACAGAGAGCCCGAGACAGACAGACAAGACAGGCAGAAAGTCAGAGAAACCGAAAATCAGAGACACAGAAAGCCACAGACAGACGGACAGACAGACACAGAATCAGAGAGACAAAGTCGGAGAGCCACACAGAGAGCCAGAGGCAGATAGACAGACAGGCAGAGAGTCAGAGAAACCGAAAATCTGAGAGCCACACAGACAACTAGAGACAGACAGACAGGCAGAGAGAGTCAGAGAAAATCAGACACAGAGAGAGAGACAGACAGACACAGAGTCAGAGAAACAGAAAACCAGAAAGACACAAAGAGAGCAACAGAAAATCAGAGAGAGACATGCAGAGACAGAGGAGGGAGGGGAAGGGGGGTTGGGGAGAGAGGGCTTGCACAGCTGTAGCACACTCTTGGGGACAGGTCACAGACCCCTCCCCTTCCAGCCAGCCTCTGTCCTGAGCTTCTCCCCCAGGGGCACCTTTTGTATGGATGGCACACACATAAGCTACGACAAGGGTTTTAACTCAAGCCAGTCTCCCTCACACCTCAACTCTAAAGCCAGCCCATCTGGTTCTCTGCGAGGAGGAAAAAAAAAAATTCTGGGTTTTGATCTAATTTAGATGCTTTCTCTTAAGAACTATCACAGCTTTGGCCACACAAGCTGCCAGGCTGGTTTCTGCCAGAAGAAGAGAGTGGCCAGGAACAAGACTTTGCCAAGGAGAGGCAAGAAACACCTTACGTCCTTAAAGATCGACCACCTCCAACCCCCCCCAGACAGCACATGACAACTTCTGAACCAGGCTTTCCCCCAGAGCAGGTGAGAAGGTGAGTAATTCCCCAGTCAGCCCAGCAATGTGGCCCTGGCTTCCTTAGGTCAAAAACGTCAGGCAGACTAGGGGACATGGAGATGGGAGTCTGGATCAAAGTTCAAGGCTAAACCCTGAGCAAAAAGTCACGGCGTCTCCATCTCAACCAGTGACCATAGATGCCTGTCAGCTTCCCAAGATGGATCACCACCAGGCTGGTGGGGATGGGGGTGGGGGTGAAGTGGGGGGAAAGGCAGGGAAAGGGGGCTTGTCTCAAGTATTTCAGTACTGCCCTCCTAGACTCATCATACCAATGTCTCTTTACTGTTGGGGTGAGGCTGTTTCTCCCTCAAATATGTAGCTCTCAGGCTACCAGGTTTGTTGAATGACTCTTCTTTTCCATAACATGGGGTCCATGAAGTACCATTCTCAAAACACAGCTGCAGGTTTGTCCAGGCTGCGGTGGGGAAGCTCACCCTCTTCCACCGGCGTTCCTTTTAAACCCAGCCAGCCTGGGTCGGACCCAGGGCTTGATTGTGCAGAATCACAGCACAGCAGCTCATTCCGGCTGCGTGCGACCAAGGTACACCGGAGGCAAGCACGCACAGAGAGCCCAGAGGCCTGTGTGTGGCCTTCCCACCCCTGAGGTCCAGCAATTAACACCATTTGCTGGAATCTGCCTTTCGGGAGCTAGTTCTAAAAAACCCTCTGATAACGAGAGAGAGGGAGATGTATTAGCATTCCCGGCAGTCCAGATGGTAATTAACCACCATCCCATCCCTCCCTCAGAATCTCTAGGTCAGAGACCAAAACAAGGCTGAGGATCTGCTAGAGGCCAGCTTTTAAGAGCATGGACCTCAGAAGCCGGTTCCTGACCCACTGCCCTGGCCTCATCAAATTTTGTTAGCAGGATGTTTCAGCTCAACACCTCTGGGTTCTTATGTGACAGGTACAGGAAGGACTCCAGGTAGGAGGAAGGACTCGGGTGTGGCTGGCCTGGGGAAATCTGCAGTACCCCCCCCCCCCCCCAGGCCTCAATGTAGGACGGTTTCTCTTTTGGGGCACCATTTTGGGGAGGGAAGTACACAGGCCTCAACCCCACTCCAAAACGGCTGACTTTGTATCTCTGCAGGAAGAGCCTGGGCACCTGCATTTCTTTCTTTCTTTCTTTTTTTTTTGCTACCAGTACTGGGGTTTGAACTTAGGACCTTGCACTTTCTTTTAGCTTTTTCTGCCGGGAGTTGGCGCTCTACCGCTGGAGCCACATTTCCACCTCTGGCTTTTGATGGTTATTTGGAGATCAGTATCTCTGGGGTTTGTCTGCTTGGGTTGGCTTTGGACTTTGATCTGGGATCTCAGCCTCCCCAGTAGTGAGGATGACAGGTGTGAGCTACCAGCACTGGCCTCAACTTGGTTTTGATTTGTTTCTCTCCTGTGCACACAGGCCTCTGGCTACTCTAGAGGAAGCTAAATGGTTCACTGCTAGTGTCCGCCAGCAATTCGGCTTCATTGCCAACCTCAGAAGGGCAGGGTATCTGGGACCCACAGCAGTACTCAGTCCAGGAGTCTGGTGAATGCTCTCAGCATCCTTGCGTTCTCTACCTCCCTTTGTAATGCTTTTGCCGAAGAACCGATTGGCTTCGCTATGCAACTCAGAGTGGAAACCAATTCTTTTTGATTGCATCCTCCTGATTCCTCTTTTGAACATCAAGGCTGAGCCAGGGGTCCAGCCATGTCAGAGGAGATGAGCCAATTCTTGTTTGTGCTCTCCATAACCTTCCGGATTTTATAGACTGTGATCAGATCACCTTCTAGTTTCATCTTTCTACACCACAGCCCTTGAAGACAAGGCAGAGCCTTTTCCGTTCACCCTTCTAACAGGTTTTTTTTTCTGCAGGTCTGGGGAAAGCCTGAGTGGAACACATTTTTTTGGCTTGCGATTATAAGTTCTGATGGTGTTTTAGCATTTTCTAAGCCTTTGGATCTTAGGCCCTTTAGTAAACTAACACTTTGCAATGATTGCAAAGCTGACTCCCCACCCCTCCTCCACGTACCACTGAGATCTCATTTTGTGGCTCTGGACAGATGAGACCCAGTTCATTTTCTTGCAACTTGGCTTATGCTATCACAAATGCATTAATGTAGCCTGTAAAGCCTTCTGTGTGATTTCTTGCTAGGTTTATCCTGTGGCCAATTGCCATTTGTTTGCATCTCAGCAGTGCCTTTACTATAATTAGAAACTATAATTAGACACTAATGTTGGAGCTTCATGCCTGTAATCCTAACTACACAAGAGACTGTCATACCTGAAGGATAGAGGTTCAAAGTTAGCCTGGGAAGAGAAGTCTGTGGGATTCCACCTCCAACCAAAAAAAAAAAGCCATGCTGCAGGCATCGCTCAAGTGGTACAGCATCAGGTATAAGCAAGAAAACCGATCAGAGCTACTTAAGGACAATAAAAGAAAATAAGAAAAGAGGAAAAACAAAAGAGGAAAGGTGATCAAGAGCTCGAGGCCCCCAGTTCAGTGCTCAGTACGGGCACAGGAAGAAACTAACGTTGGATCAGGTGCATCAGCACGTGCCTGTCCACCCCCCACTGCTTGGAAGGCAGAGATAAGGGCGAAGGCAGAAGTTCATGAGAGACTTCCCCAAGCCCGTCATCCCTGCTACATCAGGTTAAAACAGGAGGATATTGGGTTAGGCAAGCAAAGACATACGTTTGAGATCCTATTTGGAAAATTAATGAAAGCAGCAAGAGCTGAGGCACGGCTCAAACGGCAGACACCTTCTTAGCAAGCTCAAGGCCCTGAATTTAAGCCCCAGTAACACACAAGTACTCAGAATTAACGTGGGCAACTACCTTCCAGCCCTCACTCTGGGTTGGGCATCTGTGCTGAGTGGGCTCTGACTTGGTGAGCTGACTTCATCCTCACCCAACCTCCTGCAGGGCTGCACGTATGTCTCCCACTTGACAGATGAAATCACTGAGGTTCGGGCTGCAGGAGCTTAGCTAACATGAAAGTGGGGGGCCCCTGGGGGGGCGGGCAGGGAGAATAGGACTCAAGAACCAAGCAACTCCCGAATCCTGAGAATGAAACCCAGGGCCACTGTACAGGCTCAGCCGACACTCTACCACTGAGTCCCATGCCTTCCCTTAAACACAGAGGAAATGATAGCAAGACACAAACACTTTGGATACAAAGGAGAGGCCCGGTTGTCAGGGAGACAGAAAGTTCTGTGGCCATCTTTCCTGGGACCACCTGCAGGGGAGAAGATGATTGTAAGGAAGGCTGGTGGTAAAGATGACTTCCAGAATATGGACCTGTGGTGTGCCCCCCTCCTACCCACAGGAGCACCCCCTTTCCATAGTCCCTTTGGTGAACCGTGTCCCCCACAAGTCCTATTGTTGGGCGTGCCTCAAAGCCTCCCTTGCTGGATGAAGGCCAACACTTTCAAAAAGAAAAAAACATAAAGCAAGACTGTTTAACAGACGTTAACAAGCCAGGAGACACAGAAGAAATCCAGGGATGGATTCTGT